GGTTTTTAAGAGGAAGTTGGATGACCACCTTACTGGGGTCATTTGACCCCAGTGCTCTTCCTGCCATGGCAGGGGGTCAGACTACATGATCTGCTCAGGTCCCTTCCGACCCTAGAAGCTATGAAACTATGAAACTAAGTTTAGGTTATACAGGCAGTCCTTGGACTTATGACACAATTGGCTCCTGGAAACTGCATCTTAAGAGGAAACGTTGTAACTCAGAACTGATTCTCCCATAGGAGCAATGTTATAAATGGGGGCTGGTTCCTGAACTGAGGCCCGATACCCTATTTTCACCAAAAATAACCCAGAATTTTGTCCTCAGTCAGTAATATAGCTACATTAATGTATTTATATTGTAAATAGCAATCATATTGATTTGGAAGGACTTCTCTGAGGTGACTTTGCTGGACTTTTTGAAGGGCTCTTGGTTGGAACCAGGAGTCTTGGCTGCAGGTTTTTCTGCTTGGGGTCTTGTCTGCTTTCTTAAAGAAAGTGTCCAAGGAAGTTTGGACAGATGTTATCCAGGGAGATGGGCGATGCAGCGAACTTGTTCACTGGCATGGTGTCATGTTCCGGATCAAGTGCTGTAAAGTCATAACTGATGTCAGAAAGTCAAAACAGGGTGTCAATTTTAAACATCGTAAGTGCTATTCATTGTAACTTGAAATGTCGTAAGTTGAGGACTGCCTGTATTAGGAAGAATTTCCTCACAAGGAGGGTAGTAAAACACTGGAACAGGTTACCCAGAGAGATGGTAGAAGCTCCATCCCTGGAGATTTTCAAAACCCATCTAGACAAAGCTTTGGCTGGAAAGATCTAGTTGGGGATGGTCCTGCTTTGAGCCGGGGGTTGGACTACATGACCTCCTGAGGTCCCTTTCATCCCTAATTTTCTATGATTCTGTGATGCTCCATATTCCTTCCCTGAACCTATGTTTCTCTCATCCACCACAATCAGGTCTTGTCTTTTAGACTGCAAGCTCTTTGAGGCAGGGGGTGTCAGTGCCCATATTTTTTGGCAGTGCTCAGTACAAAAGGACTGCTAGAAGCCTGGAGGTACTATCACAATACAAAAAGTATCAAATGATTGTTAGGTTGTTCAATAATATTTGTATGGCAATTTGAACATACTAGGCTGAATTCTCCTTTCAATGACATGAAAGCAACACCAATTAAGATCTTATCATTTTTCTGGTGCAACTGAGAGGAGCATTTGGCCCACAAATTTTTTCCCTCTCCTGTATGGGTCAAATCTGACTCTATACCAGGGCCTAATGAGACCACAGTGGAAGGTTGATGATCTGGGTGCTCACCAGGATCTGGGGGAACATTTGTTCACCAGAGTGCCCCATGGGATGACAAAGTCGAACGGTCACAAATTCTTCCATGACCGCTTCAGGCTGGACATAAGGAAGAACTTCTTTACTGTCCAAGCCCCCAACATTTGGAATAGACTTTCGCCAGAGGTGGTTCAAGCACCTACTTTGAATGCCTGCAAGAGGCATTTGGATGTTTATCTTCCTGGGATCCTATGATCCCTGCTGACTTCCTGCCCCTGGGCAGGGGGCTGGACTCTGATCCTCCGGGTCCCTTCCAGTCCTAGTGTCAATGAAATCCTTATGCAGCACTACCTAAGACACTTGTCTATGTTAATTTTGAATACTTGACATATTATCTAAAAAAAGTTATAAAAACACTTGATGCATGGTGCATGGCTCTTCCTGGAGTTCTTCAGGCTACTCAAACAAACATCAAAGATTTATAAGGAATAAATGTCTGAAGTTTGCAAGAAAAATGTTGTCAGCAATGCAAATTGGTAACCTATGGGTGTGTCTACATGTGTAATTAATGTGACTGAATAAACTCCAGCACATTTGAGCTGGAGTAAACTAATCCCAACCTCACAGTCTACATATGTTTAAGTGCAGTAATTTACTCTGCCATTGAATAGTACCAGTGTCTGATGGGACTTCCCTATGCCAGAGTAAATTAGTCTATTGCACCCTAATTACAGCACACATGTAGACGGTGACACTGTACTTTACAGTAAATTAGTCTACTGCGCAGTAAAGCGCATTTGTAGCTGCATCCAGTGACATCTAAAGCCATGAAGGAAGGAGGAAATAACACTGATTTAGGGGTTGAGGTTTTTAAAAAGCACACCTTTGATATCTTCCTGTTGAATAATAATCTGTATAGAAATCTGTCATCTCTGGCAAACTGTCTAGTCCATTTCCCGTTGCCACCAGTCATTGGATACTTCTTTTGCAAACAATGTAGCATCACCTACCTAGACTTCTCCATATTGCTGTACAGCAGGAGCAAAACCCCCCCCCCAAAAAACAGGACGTGTTTGATTTGGAATTAAACACTGCCCAAGTGATTAAAAACTGGCTGGAAGACCATAATAAGGGTAATGATGCATCAGATTCTGTTGAGGTAGCCAGTGGGATGTTGCAGGGGTCTCTGTTCCGCCTGGTTTTAATTAGCATTTTTAGCAACAGTCTGGAAAAGGGAATTAAATACATTGCTTATATTTGTCAATTATGTTAATTTGGGCGCTGGAATAAACATCATGGAAAGTGAAAAATAATACAAAGGAACTGAAGACTAGAAATGTGGGTGGTAAACAAAGTAGAAATGAGCACAGAAAATTGTGAAGTAATTTATACATATGCCGGAGACTACTCCAAAGTAGATCTTTAAGTGGGAGGGAAAAACATGGAACTTAATAAAATAGAAGAAGACATAGGTTAAGCATAGATGTAGGATAATCATAGTGTTGTGGCATCTCCCAGTCCCATTTCTTGTGACGCTGCAGGAGGAAGAAACTACATACAAGGCTGCAAGAAATTAATTTAGCTTCTCATTATTTGTAGACATTTGCCATAATCAGTGAAGTCTATGGACATGCTACAAGTAGCTGTAAGCCTTCAATTTAAGCATCTCCTAACATGTACTAACCTTAATAGGTTACTACATTCCAATTATTTGCAACTATTGCAAGTCAACATATTACAAGGCCCTTGGGCTGGATAGTACTGTGCAGCCAGGGTTAGGCAATGATGAAGTTAGGAGAGCAGCAGGAAGAATCAATGAGAAGGGAAAATTGTGATTCTTTATAGGAAAAAAACAAGTCTTAATTCTTCATTCACCAATGAAAAAAAGGGATTTCAGAAGTGACATGACTAAAGTGTACTTATAAAAAATGTGTACTGCTGTCACTCTATCCAGCCTCTAGCTCCACAGAAACAAGTACAGGATATTTGCCAGTGGGAGACTTCTCCAGTAGGTGTTCATGTTTTGAATGTGTTTATAATGAAACTCTGACAATGTTTCAATAAGCAAAGGAACAGTTATCACAGTGTTCACAGTTCGCACCAAGCTCTGTCCATCACACTGAATGTTCATTTCTTAAGGCTTTTCTCTGTAAATACAGAATTATATTCTCTAGAGAAATTCTTCTTGAACAAAGTTAAAAACTTTTTGATCTTACCCAGCTGAACTTGGCAAGAGGTTCCTGGGGAGAACTGGTGGAGGTCTAAGAACAGAGAGAGAAGCAGGCTGGAACAGAATTATACTTGGGTGTCTAAACCCACTTGGGTACTCCTGAGGAGGACACCCAGGACTGGAGGATGGTGAAGTCAGAAGAGTAGTAGCAGGATTTGTCTGCTGACTTGCTTCTATGCCTGGGAGCTGGATCCAGAGGGCCAGGAAAGGCCAAGGGACAAAGACATAGGAACACAGGGCAAAGGACCATTGGCGAGGTTTGCTTGCTGACTTCTCCAAGCTAGAGCTGAGGGACTGGAAAAGATTGAGGGTTTGTGGACTGTGCAGAAACCTGCCTGCTGACCTGCCCAGGGCAGAGAAGAGACTACTCCCACCTGGAAAGACTTAAGAGTTTCTAATGAGAGCCTGGAAGGGCTGAAGATGTCACTTCTAAGAATGCATGGGGTGGGATAAATTCAGTTTGCGTCTGTATTTTAGAGAGTATCTTCCTGACCTAACATGGTGTCCTCCCTCTCCCCAGCAGGGATGATTCTAGGAAAATCTACAGTGGAACCCTTGAGCAGATGAGAGGGAAAATGATGGAGGGTGCCCCTGCAATATTGCAGCAGCCATGAGATGGTGTGACAGATGGGGGATCCTGCCTGTTGACTGATAGATTAAGAATAAGTCTTGTCATCACAAGCAATGACTAACAAACAGTCAATATGTAGACATCAGGTTGTGTTTTATTACACAAGTCATCAGGATCTTATTTATGTACTGATATACAGAGACATTTTTTGTTGGAACAACAGATACATTTAACATCAGTCATTAATCATGAGTACCAAGATCACTTTCTTCCAAACTGAGGCAAAGGTGGTGGCACCTTAATGTCTTGACCTTTTTCCAGCTTCTTCTCACAGTCAATCAGATAACTGACTCCATCAATGACTATCTGGACAAGCTCCACCTTAAATAACAAAAGCAACATTTATATAGATAACACTCTTAAATGAGAGGGGAAGGCTGACGGGTCCTGGCAGAAGAGTTAGTAGCCCCAGACAGAGCTGGGACATGGCATAAAAGGGAAGCGGAGCCAGGATGGTTGTGGTAGAGAAGCACTGGCTACAAGCATAACTTGACCCAGAAGGTTACCTTCATCTCTCCACCTCCGTGAGTACGCTGCCCCTTGACCCACTCTTCTCATGGAAAATTTCTACACAATTTGGTAGATAATATTTCTAAGGGTGTTGTGAACTAGCATAAAAAGAATGGTGATAAAGAGTGGAATTGTAAAGGATAATAAAGATTTTTATCTCTTCTGTAGAGTTCAATAACATGATTTAAAAAAAAAAGTCTCCAGGAAGACTATTAGGGCCAAATTCTATTCTACCTAATAGGTGTTTAAGCGTACTTAGGCAGCTAAGTGTTATCCTATTCAACCCTGCTTGAATCCCTGAAAAGCTATTAATACAAAAGGTGGGTGTGCCTTCCTCCTCCTCCCTGCTTTTTTCTGGTGTGTAAGATGACGGTGATATATTAATGGATTTTCAACTGCTCAAGCAGGGTGGTACAGGATTGCTATTAGGCACCTACTTCCACTTAGACATCCAATAAGTAGAATAGGATCTGGCCTTTACTTTTTTTACATATTCATCTTTAGTGGAATATCCTTTTGGTTCCATCCCTATCAAATTCTGTAGGACTTTCTATAACAGACTTCACTTCTGCTTAGCCTCAAAAAATACAAAGCTGAACCAAAATTGGCAATTTGCTCATTTTCCAGTTTATTTTCTCCTTCCTGTTGAATGATGACTGTTTGTTC